ATTCAACTCGTCACAATACATTTGTTTTTCGTGCAATGCAAATATACACATAATAGGAGCTCGCGATTCCATATTCGTGTCAACGTTGCGATGGCGCCAACTTTCCCAAGTCAAGCCAGAAAGCTGTTACTCCGGAACGAGTTACTTCATCATCAAGGTTACGGAAGCTCGAAAATTCGATAATCACGATATCGTGGACAAGGATCGATCCCGAGCGTGGCCCGCAGCGATTCAAACTTGCATCGTAATTGATCGATCGTCGGGAAAATTTCGAACGGGCTGGTGACCCGTTGCAAATACCGTCTGTTCCATGTTCGATCGTCCGACAAACAAGGTGTCCGGCTGGAAAGATCGATACCGCTTAAAAAGAAAAAAAAAGAAAAAAAAAGTAATATCCTTTTTCGAGCCGTTTCGTTATTGTCGTTTTTTGTCCCTGGAACGCGATAAATTCGCGCTCGACCGAACCATCGCATCGAACCGTCACACGTGTAGACGTGTAAAATAGGAGATGTTTGTTGTAGAACACGGTTGTTGTGTGCAGATAATATAGTATTAATTCGTAATTGTGTAGCGCGAGCGGGCACGAGTCGCCACGGTCGCGTTAATTGTCGCGTAAAACGCGCGTGAGTTGCTCTCGAGGCACGAATTTTTAAATGAGAGTTTCACGCGTTACGCGTGGCCGATGTTTAAAAACGTGCGAAAAACAAAGTATAAGATATATCGGGTATCGTTTCGTAATTTCTCGTTTTATGTAATTGGGATCGATCGTGGAAGGTTGGAACGAAAGCGGGAGAAAGCGATCGCGAGTTACGGCGATTCGGTTTTGAGACGAGTGTGCCACGACTCGACGTACTATTTATTTCTCGACGTTAACCGCCTCGCGACTCGCGTTGTTCGACTCGAGAACCCATCGTGCACCTCGTCCACGATGGTTATACGCTTTCACTTTTTTTTTTTTTCTTCTTCTTTTCCTCTCAAAGGAGAATCGGAAGGTTAATTAACGCGCCGTTATTAACAATTGAATCGCGATTCTATTCTTTTCGAAGATTTAAGTTTCTTTCAAACTCGCTCGGTTGACGATCGTTCGGACTTTTCAAGTTCGAATTAATTTTCGTCGATCCCCAGCCGACATCGAGTTTTCTATTTTTATGAAATTACGTCGTAAAAAAGTATGATTCATAATTGGTTGGCTAATCGAATCGAAAATGAAAAGAAGGAAGAACAAGCAGGACATACATACGTAAAAGAACGTTCTCGTTTAAGCATCTACGCGCTCCGAATATTTTCAGAGACTTTATCGCCAAGACTGTGCGAGGGTTGGCCTATTTTCGAGGACAAATCAATTTTTCCACGGTATTCGGAGCTGTAATAATTTCCGCGGGTCTTGCGCTTTCCCGCTGACATATTTTCCATTGTCGACTATCTCCTTAGTGGAATTGGATCGGTGTGCAGCCGTCCCGTATAGGAAAAGGATTGGCGCAAACGAGTACGCGTCTTTTGCACTTGTACGATCCCTTTTCTTTTTTTTTTTCTTTCTTTACTTTCATCGTCTTAGCAGATTCGAGCTAACTCTTTGTAACTCGCTGCTTTCGATCTTTTACACACTTCGTTCTTCGTCGAAAAATCTTCAAAATCATCGATCGCATTTCCGTTTTAACAACATAAAACTATTCTTAAACACTTTAGGTCTCTGGGACACTCGATTAATCGCTCGTTTATATTATACGCTCGCTTCATATTTTCGCAACGAGAGAAATCTTGCTAACCTCTACTCTTGTGTATACACTGTTCACACGTCTTCGCCCGATGGATCGATACAAAGCAGAACGGATGTCCGACCGGATGGATACGCGTTGGCAAATATATTTCACGTTATGTTGTAGATAATCGCCTACCATATTTCTCCTCATCGTCGCGATTTCGAGCTACTAAATGCATTTCCTCCCCGTATGTCCGCTCACGTACAATATCATCACGCGCCTAGGCTAGAATCATGTCTGTTCATGTTCACGCGCACGCATTAAGCTCGTCTCGGCTGGCACGTGAGATCCGGCATTGATTCAACGCCGTGACGGACTCGTCAATTACGTTCGCGTGTAATTCATTCGCGATCCGCGATTCCAGATTCCAATTGTCGTCCTTAATCGCACGAGTTCACGTGAGGCTGAAGTCTCTAGCGAGGTAAGTACACCGGCTCTAGATTCCCCTTGGAGACCGTGTCGATTCCCCGCTATCCGTGCTTAGACGACTTTACCGCATATCTAGGTCCGTGACTTGTCGGTATAGCGAGCGCGGAGGGATTAAATTCTAGACTCCCCTGCTACTAATGATCAACGTTGCTCCATGTCGATTAGCGGAATAAATACTTGGCACGAGGCAAAGTCTTAATTAACCGTTTCACGCTTCCTATCGATTTCGAGTCAGCCATCGAATGCGACTAGAGCACCACCAATCGAATTAGAATGGTTCGAGCATCGTCGAAATATTTTATACTTTATATTCAACGTTGGCGAATAATTGGAAAGCGACGAGGTGCGCGTTCTTGATAGAGTTCTTCGAAGATCGACAAATGGTCGTACGTCGAAATGAATTCTTATCAATTGTTATGATTATGCACGCTTGTTTAATTACCAATAAAGTTTCCACTTCGTTATTCGGAAGCACGGAGTAACTTTTTAACGTTTTCGAAACGCTGTGGGTTTTCCTCTTGGATAGGACAAACAGCTCGCAAAGTAAAGTTTCTCGAGGCTTTGACTCCTCCTCGCTCGATACTGGGATTCTCGTCACGGAGTTGACGTTCCTGAGGTCACTCTATCTTTCCTCTGGCGCATACGAATTCGGTTGACGACAAGATTTTATGTCTTCGAGAATGTTTCGGAAGCCACTTTCGCGTCGCGCCTTTCGAGCATGCTTGTCGACCGTGCTAGGTGTACAAGTTCCCCTTAAATCGTATTAAATCGTATTATAAATTTAAAAGCGACAACGAAGCTTTGTGAACATTAATGACCGGTAACCATAATACCACAACGACCGCGCACAATGTTCCACAAATCTGGTCAATCCAATTTCTCACGCGAAGCACAATCAATGGGAAATATCGTCGTCTCGATAGAGAATTATAGCGCGATTATGATGCCGTTAAAATGGAGGTAGAAGATAAATAAAATTAAAGAAGTTTTTTTTCTTTGTTCTCTATGTAATTGATTATCATCTTCAGAATAATAAGTCGAAATATCGTTTGAACACGTTGGTATTTTTTCATTGCAAAAATTTTGAGTATAATTAAATATTTACATATACCTCGTGCTATTTGTAAAATACATTGAACAGTAATGTTTATTCGTTTATGTATGTAAAAATATTCTTTATGCAAAAATGGTATTAATAAAATCAGCATAACACGTGTGAGTGCCATTCATTCAAATTGGCACGATAATGAAACAGATATAAATAGAATATATATAAATATATATAGAATTTGTATTTTATAAATGTTGTATTGTTTGTTACAGGAAAGAACCTCTACAATAACGAGCATGTAGCAATTAAATTGGTGAGTTCGAAAATGGTTATTACATTCGTCTAAAGATCTCGTTAACATGATTTTTTTTTTTTTTTTTTAACATAGTAATGAAATCGATTTCACATTGAATCGAGTAACAAATCTCTAAAGAAACATTAGCTTTACCCTCGACGCTTTTATTCTGAAACGACGTCTCTTTTTCCTTTTTCCAGGAACCAATGAGGTCAAAGGCGCCGCAGCTACACTTAGAATATAGGTTTTACAAATTATTAGGAGCTAATGGTGAGTAGTATCCACGTTTCGGGCACGCGATTAATTAAATTTACTCGAACATTTTACAATTTAATCGATCAATGCCACGAATTGTATACCAGAGGGTGTACCAGAGGTGTATTACTTCGGTCCTTGCGGGAAGTACAACGCTCTCGTGATGGAACTTCTCGGACCAAGTCTGGAGGATCTGTTCGATCTCTGCGGTAGGAGGTTTACCCTAAAGACCGTTCTCAAAATCGCCACACAAATCGTAAGTAGAATTAATCAGTAATCACCATTTCCATTCCATTTCAATTACCTATCGCAAAATGTCTAATTGTTATTCGAAAACTCCAAATATCCTTTACGAAATTTACGAACTTTAATAAAAAAAACTCGATGAATTAGTTTTTGACAAGTTTAAAATGATAGTTGATAACAAATATAAGTTATTAATAAGAAATTAATTCCCTTTTTAATGCAGCTCTATAGGATAGAATACGTTCATAGTCGGCATTTGATCTATCGCGATATCAAGCCTGAAAACTTCCTGATAGGACGATCCTCGACCAAACGGGAAAAGATTATCCACATCATCGATTTCGGACTGGCCAAAGAGTACATAGACCTGGAGACGAACAAACACATACCGTATCGGGAACACAAAAGCCTGACGGGCACAGCGCGTTACATGAGCATCAACACACACCTTGGAAAAGGTAAGTGTTTTATTTAGATATCCGTGCACGAGGAGACGATTGCCACCCGCTGTCGGCCCATCTGCACAAACTTTTGAAACTTGGCCGCGTGCTCGTTCTTCGTTCAGTCCTGGAGAAAGTTGTAAGCGAGCACGCGTCGCGATACGCTATATTAAATCCACCAGGAACGTTTGTTCGTTACGTGGCCGATATCTCCGATTGTATTTCGTTAAAATATGAATAAAAAATATATATACATATACATATATATATATAAGAAAATTATATAATAATGTTATTAAGTTATATAAAATATTTAAGTTAAGTAAAAATATCGATAATCTAGCGAATATATTGATAGATGTATAAGAACAAAATCGATAGGATTTTCATTTTGTATTTTTATTATTAGAGCAGAGCAGAAGAGACGATCTAGAAGCGTTAGGCAACATGCTGATGTACTTCCTGCGTGGTAGCCTTCCGTGGCAAGGGCTGAAAGCGGACACGTTGAAAGAACGATATCAGAAGATCGGCGATACGAAGCGGAACACACCAATCGAGATTCTTTGCGACGGCCATCCCGAAGAATTGGCTACGTATTTGCGATATGTGCGTAGATTGGATTTCTTCGAGACGCCCGACTACGAGTACCTGAGGAATCTCTTCAACGACTTGTACGAGAAACGGGGTTTTGTCAACGACGAAGAATTCGACTGGACTGGCAAGACGATGGTACGTGATGCATTGTTACTCAATGCCAAGTGATCCCAGTATACGTCACTTTCTCTTTTATCTCTTCGCAATGCATGCAAGAAAGGAAGACAGAATAATAGAAGAGTTGCATGATGGTCGATTTTGCCCAGGGACGAAGCACGTATCGCAAGAGTCGATATCAAAAAAACCCATTAATAAAGTTATTTTTTTCCTGCCTCTCTTTCTTTCTTTTTGTTTTTGATATTCAAACGATTCCTATTTACAATTAACACAATGTACAATATAATGTCTACATTATTTATTAGATTATGTAAATTAAAAGATTTTTATTAATGACATTTTTTGATTATCTTTCTCAATCAAGTGTATGGTTTGTCAAATTTTTTTTTCTTTTTTTTTTTTTTTTACATTGCACATAGTAGTTGTTTTAGCAATACTCGTGTACTTAGAAACTTCGAGATATCGTCTCTTACGGGTAAGTAAGTCGTCCTGAGGATTCTTTCTCTACGTCGTTCCACCGAGATTTTTGGTGAAAATCATATATCACTAATTTTTAACGTTTGCATGCTGCCTCCAATGTATCTCTAGCCACACAACTTCGACCAGTTAAAAATTCTGAGGATGGCTCCTCCCTCTCACATTATGAAAACTAGATCCGAAAAGGTGGGTGATAAACGTTACACGAGCATCACGTTTCTATTATATTCGAATATATATCTACCCTGTTTGATTAATTGAAATTATTTGAAAGAACGCGTATTTGTTAACGTGCACGAAAAAATAATATTGTATCACCAAAATAATTTGTGAAAAAATAAAAAAAAGCGTATTTTTGCTCGAAGCAAAAATCGCTAAAGCACTGCTGAAAATTTATTGATTTTTATTTCATCGAGCGTGAAAATTCTTATTTATTATATCCTTCGAGAGACACGGTATTTCGTTTTGATCGTGATTCGTATTTATATCTGTAAAAAACGCTTAAGAGTTGTATTTATGCATGCGTATCTTCTTTCCTTTCCTCTCGTCTTTATATTCAATTATTTAATTTAAACTCGCAGTGAAATATTCTTTAGATAGAATTTCAATAATAGTAAATATCCTCCTTCCATTGCCACGTATTCTCCTTAAAAAACTTTTCACTTTTTGGGAACGTTGAACGCTAATATCGTAAATCCAGTTTAGATTTCTAATCTGTAATTTTCGTTTCTATATTATTATACTTCTTTCATGCTTGTGAATGAAACGTAGAGCAAGTTTTTATCGGTTAATTGGGATGCTTTTTGTTTGCAGACGATATTAATCATGATATTAATCCGGTTTTTATTTCGATTTGAATGCTCGTTCTATTCTGTCCAATGCGAAGAACAGTGTACGAAATAATAATGTTGAATATTACCGTCAATTATTGTTCTTTTCCCGTCTCCAAGTATGTTATACGAAATTCATCTATCTGTATACACATCTGGTAATAATACGCTCTTTTGTAACCTAATATTTGTGTTTCGTTTTCAGTCTACACCTGTTGGATCCTTGCAGACTGGACAAGAGATTATTGTATCTCCAAATCGTGATCGGCATCCGTACAAAGTACGTATATGATTTTATACCGATTTTCTATTTTCTTTTTTTTTTTTTTTTTTTTTTTTTTTTCCTTTTGAAAAAAAAAGTAAGAGCATGATTGTGTGAAGCTTAGCTATTTGAAATAACAGCATGAGTATACACCTCATCGGTAACGGAATATAGATATACACTATATTTTTTCAAATAACTTTTACGAAAAGTTGTTCGTAATCGAGTTGTCAAAAGGAAATCGAAACGTTGTTGAGATAATAAAAATCGAAAAAAATTTGAGCTAGCTTGATTTTTCGATCGGAAAGAGATTTTTTATTTTTTTGAGAGAGAGAAAGACAGAAAAAAAGAAACGATTACATAAACGATTTTATTCCTTTGCGAAACATGGAAATCAACGATATGTAGGAATGTGATGATTTTGAGGACGATGTTGTCCTCACAATGGATGAGGTTCACATCGAAATACACGGCAACTACGTAAGCCATTAAAATTTTTGTAATAACCTGATCTTATTTCTTCACGCATGCACTATCTTATCGTTTATATCCCGGATAAAACTTGAAAGAGTATAGTTGAATGTATACTATACAAGGATCGGTTATCGTGTAGATAAAACGTCTTTTTTTTCTTTCGATATATAATAAAATCACAAGTTTTGACGATTTTTTTTTTTTTTTATTAAGACGAAACTTAATCGAATTTAAATTCCAATTATTTTTCCAAAATCTTAAATTTAAAACAACATGTGTGAAGAAAGGATTTGAAACATATCGTATTTGACAATCCTTGTTGATCAATTCTCCCAATGTTGTTTCTATCGTTGACGAAACTTGAATAGTAGTTAGTTGCGTAGCTCACAATTATCGAGTAAATTGAAAATCATTCAATATCATTCGGAGTGTCTGTTAATATATTTCATGTATCGTAACGCTTCAATGTTAAACGATCGAGAAAGTTATACCATGCTGAGCAAGATAAAAAAAAAAAGATAAAAGATAAGCAAAGATTAAAA